ACAGTAATTGAAAGACAAACACTCATTTGAATAAGGATTTTGAAAGAAGGCACATGAAGGGAATAGATGGTGAATATGGGCGACATCCCTTGCCACCTTAACTGCTACCCAGTCTCAGGAACTGAACAGACTGTGATCTTTTCAGGAGAATGCCCTGCAATATAATTATCCCTACACATGATCGGAATCTTGGGAACTAAGTAGGTCTGGTTAGGATACTTTTTTTGGATACAAAACCTTAGTACTTTATACCAAGTTTTCTCTTGTGATTTTTATCAATATACTGTATACACTAATGAAATTCACTTTTAATTATAAATTAAAAGAAAATATAAAACTGTATAAACCAATGAAAATTAAAAATCACACAGCATTTTATGGCTGGGCATAGTGACTCATGCCTGTAATCCCAGTACTTTGGGAGGCTGAGGTGGGCACATTGCCTGAGACCAGGAGTTCAAGACCAGCCTGGCCAACATGGTGAAACCTCGTTTCTACCAAAAATATAAAAATTAGCTGAGCATGGTGGTGCGTGCCTGTGCGCTAGCTACTTAAGCGGCTGAGACAGGAGGATGCCACTGCACTCCAGCCTAGGTGCCAGAGCAAGACCCTATCTCAAAACCAAAAAACAACAAACAGCATTTTCCATTCTAGGAAAACGCTCTGACACCTTTCTTGATAGAAGTTATGTGGGTCTTTGCTGTGGTACAAAGCAGTGATCCCTAACCCAAACTGCCCAGGTAAAAGGGAGATTTATGAGTTATATGATATCAAAAAACAAACAAACAAACAAAAAAGAGTTAGATGATGTCAGTATCTCATTCTTGAAATGCTCTTGCTGTCTTTTATCACATATAACAAACATGGAGAGGAAACTATCAGGGCATTTCATTTTGGGAAGCATGGTAGGTAGGAGTAAACTAAGACGTCAGTTACCGGGAAGCCCATGTCTGTGAGTTGTTTGATCAGCCGGCTCATGATCCAGGCCTCATCCTGCTTGCCAGACGTCTTCATGCCCTGTAACAAAGTGTGGGAAAGGGGATAGTCCATGAGCTACATTTTAATGCATTTCTTTCAGAAACGGGAGACGAGGTCATTTAAAAGTCACTGAATCTTTTTGTATTAACGTTGAATAATGCTGTATTCCAGAAACTCCCTAACAGTATTTCATGGCTTCTACTACGGAAAGCATCAAGGTACATTTGCAGGTTGGTATATATGTGCGATTTATGAACTTAAAAAAAAGCAGGATATTTTTCTTTCCAGATAATTTAGTTCATCACAAATACACATTACTTTTATTGTCCAATAATCCTAAGTGCTCCCTTGAACACAGCCCTACGTGTTTACTAAAAATTACACAGTTTTTGTCCTTTTATAAGCTTTATTCTCAAAAAGGATAAAATGAGGGGGTTTATTCCAATGAATAAAGAGGCAACAAGAAGAAAGGAAGAAAGAACTGTTAATTTTTACTAACTATTTGTTCCTTGCAGCTCATAGGGTAGAGAAAAGGACTAAGTACGAAAATGTCAGCGAAGGAGTCGATGACGAAAAAGGCCTGCTACTGAAAGAGCAGTGGGAGTGCGGAGGGCACAGCACCACAGAGAAGCCAGGAGGCTTCTCACTAACTTCCCTCTGAGCCTATAAATGCAAAGGTTCTAATGCAGCATTATTACAATATAAAAAAAAAAAATCTCCTTCTAAAAATATTCTTCAGAGTACTTTCCAAAATTGAGCCTGCCACAGCTATATAATGGAGCACATAAGGCTTTATAAACAAACAGGCTTTCTTTCCTCAAGGAACTAGCTTATTTTGGGGTATTTTAATCATTACTCTGTTGCCAGAGCCAGATTAGCCAAGATTTTAATTTACCAATTTGGTATTTCTGGTCCCATCATTAACTGGATTATCTGCCAGCCCAACAACTATCAAAAGGATTCTTTTGAATGTCCGTAATCACTTCTACTCCGCATGAGCAGAGAGCCCTGATTTTAGTTTCTGGGTTCTGCTGATGGTTAACTGAATGCTTTTTAAACTAAATTTTTTTGACCATGAATACATTCACATGATTCAAAAGTATAAACGTGGTGTAAAGAAAGTTTTCATCTCATGCCACCCAAACTGCTTAGTTCCTGTTCTCTCCAAGAGGAAACTACTCATAGCAGTTTCTTATTTGGCCTTCCAGAGAATTTAGAACATTCCATAGAGGCTGATACACTATGTGTGCATGTATGCCCACACACACATAGACACACGCACACACAAGCTTGTTTTCTTCCGCTTACCCCACAAAATTGGGTGTGTGCTATATGTTTTTCTGCATCTTTTAACAATGTACTTTAGTGATCTTTCCATATCAACACATATACAGAATTTCCTTTTAAATAGTTTTCCTGGTTACTCCATCAATGTACGTTTAAACTATTTTTATCTTTTTACTACAAAATTGCTGCAATACAAAACTGCACAAATGCCACAATATGAGACACCGTCTCTACAGAAAAAATAAAAAATAAAATTAGCTGGGCACAGTGGCATGTAACTGTAGTCCCAGCTACTCATGAGGCTGAGGCAGGAAGACAGGTCAAGCCCAGGAGTTCAACGCTGTACTCCAGCCTAGGTGACACAGCAAGACTGTCTCTAAACAATTTTTTTTTAAATAAAAAAGTAAAAATGTTGGCTTTTGGCGGGTCTGAGAGATGCAAAATGGCAGGCATCTCTGAGTGCTGTCTGAAACTGAACTGCCTTCCTGTGAGTCCCTGTGTCTAGTGGCCATCCGTGCTCCTTCCCTGTGGACCATCTACTGTTCACATTCTGTGCTCCTTTTTTTATTGGGTTTCTGGCTGATTTTTTTTTTTAAAAATCAGTTTCTAGGACTTTATCAGGGAGATTGGCCCTCTCCATGATATGAGTTATAAAAGTTTTTCCAGTTTGCTATTTTTCTTTTGACTTTGATTATGGTATTTTCTGTCATGTACAGTTTTTATGTTTTTGTATTTGTGTCTACAGACAAAAAATTTTATTTTATGGCTTTTAGATTTTGGTCATTCATAGGCCTCTCTGACTCCAAAATTGTTTTTAATGTCTTTTACATCTTAACATTTTTAATATTTAAATCTATGATCTACTTGAAATTCAGTCATGCTGAATGTGTGACTGAAATGGGCAGTCATCTAGAAAAAACAGATACACATCTCCTGTATATATGAGATACGTATCTCAGGTTTTTCTAGATGACTGACCATTTGTGACTTTTTTTTTTTTTTTTGAGACGGAGTCTCGCTCTGTTGCCCAAGCTGGAGTGCAGTGAGGTAGTCTTGGCTCACTGCAACTGCAACCTCTGCCTCCCAGGTTTAAGTGATGCTCCTGCCTCAGCCTCCCCAGTAGCTGAGATTACAGGCGCCCTGCCACCACACCTGGCTAATTTCTGTATGTTTAGTAGAGATGGGGTTTCACCAGGTTGGCCAGGCTGGACTGAACTCCTGACCTCAAGTGATGTACCCACCTTGGCCTCCCAAAGTGCTGGGATTACAGGGATGAGCCACTGTACCTGGCCTGCCCACTTGTTTTAAGACTTCTTAATCATCTGTCTCAAACTTTTTGGTCTCAGGACCTTACAATACTCTCTTAGATACTGAAGATCCCAAAGAACTTTTGTTTATATGAGTTGTGTCTATTGCTATTTACTGTATTAGAAATTAAAACTGAGAAAATTTGGAAATATTAATTTTGTTTAAAAATAAAGCCATTGCACATTAACATGACATTTAAAAATGAACAGTACTTAATTTTTCATGAAAAGAGTGTACTGTTTGGTATTCTGGCAAATCTCATGTCTGGCTTAAAAGAAAATGGCTGGATTTTCATATCTGTTTCCGCAGATTCTCTGCTACAGTAAAGATCTCTGTACGCCTCCACCCTACACTGGAGACAGATCTCAAATGAAAAAGACAGTCTTAGTACTGGCATCATAGTTGTGAACTTGCTTAATCCCTTGAAAGGGTCGCTGGGCCCTGAGACTACTCTGAGAAACTCAGGTCTACCTTTCCATCTGACTCACTGGATACTGAATGTGTCTGAAGTACCTTTGGCTTTCAGGGCCTACCATCTTTAAGAGTGCTGTATTTAGTGCTGTATTTACCTTTTGAAGCCCTTTTTTGGGGGCATTCCCCCAGGAGCTGCAGGAGGAGGTGCTTTCTTGGGAAGCAGCATGATTCCACACGTCTCCTTCTTCGTCCTCCCACTGGCTGGTACTGAGGTGCACTTCATCTCCACCACCGCCCCAGCCTTCTTGCATAGATTTTGAAGCTAGAAAGAGATCAAACATGAACTTACCAATTTCATGCCCCTAACACGGACGATGCTTCCACTATAACATGTAATTTAGGGGAGGTGGGACAAATGAGATGTAATCTACCTTTTTACACCTTCCTTTCTCCCAGATCTAAGAAATGAATTTCTCCTGCTAGATATGTAAATAAACACGTACATGTATATAATTTTTCCTTCAAACACCAGCTATTTGTACTCTGTGCTGTTCTAAACTTCCTTGACTAACTGCAGATCATCCTAAAACATAAACATGCTAAAAACAAATCCTGGGGCCAGTAGGGAAGGTGGCAATCTCTACACGGTATGAAAAAGCTACAGAAATGTAGATTCCTAAAAAATTTCATTGTCCTGTGTGGTTTTAAACATTTGTACTTTTTTCTATTCTTTTTGAAACATAGTCTTGCTCTGTTGCCTAGAGTACAGCAGTGCAATCATAGCATCCTGCAACCTTGAACTCTTGATCAAGTGATCCTCCTGCCTCAGCCTCTCGAGTAGCTATAGGCATGTGCCACCACATCCAGCTAATTTTGTTTCTTTTTAATAAGAGACGGTGTCTCACTATGTTGCCCAGGCTGGTCGCAAACACCTGGGCTCAAGTGGGCCGCTTGCCTTGGCGGCCCAAAATGTTGGGATTACAGGCATGAGCCATCACAAGTGGCAGGAAAATGTGTATATGGGATGCTTCATGAATCTGCATCTCATCCTTGCACAGGAGCCAGGCTAATCTTCTCCGTATTGTTCTAATTTTAGTACATGTGCTGCTGAAATGAACACCTCTGCCTGATTCTTAATCACTGCTTGATCCAAACCTGTGAGCATATGTCACACAGACCAGTGCTTCTCAAACTTGCCCACTTGTGATAGTCAGCTGGAACATGTGAAATGGAACAAGCCTGAGGTCAGGCCTGGCAGGCTGCACTTCTCCCAAGCTTGCAGGAGATACTGACAAACTAGCAGGACGGAGGCCTTCGGCAGATAAAGCTACAAACTAACCACTGAACTTCGACTGCAGATATTTTTTCCTCCTTTCTTAAAACACAAAGTGATTTTCGATATCAAAATTACCCCAAATTTTCACTTCTTTGAAGAATATGAAGAAGGAAAAACACTAACAGGGCAGTTACCTGGGTCTTTAATGAGGATACAAGGCTGATATACACACAGAATAGGCACATAACTGTGCCTCCCAGGACAAATCTGAAAATAGAATACACTGCCTCAAAACAGCACATTAATCTAAATACTCAGAAATTGCCTTATCTTTTAGGTTTGTAACAAAAATGTAAATGGAATAAATACCTTGAGCATAGTGGCGGCTGTATGGAACATACTATCTAGTTTTAGCAAAATAACAAAATAAAAAACCGATAAAGTTATATTTTAAGATGTTCAAAGAAAAGATGAAGCTTCTGCAGTTATGTGAACCATTTTTTTTTTTTTTTGAGATGGAGTCTCTCTGTCGCCCAGGCTGAAGTGCAGTGGCACAAACTTGGCTCAATGCAACCTCTGCCTCCCAGGTTCAAGCAATTCTCCTGCCTCAGCCTCCTGAGTAGCTGGAATTACGGGCACCCGTCACCAAGACAGGCTAATTTTTGTATTTTTAGTAGAGACGGGGTTTCACCACGCTGGCCAGGCTGGTTTCAGGTGATCTACTGCTTTGGCCTCCCAAAGTGCTAAGATTATAGGCATGAGCCACCGTGCCCAGCCAGAATTAAATGGGAGGAAAATGTACAGTTCTTTCCTTTTTTCAAGTTGTTTATGGGTAAGCATAACAACATGAAAATAAACATGGTAAATTCCACCCAAAGTAGAGTTCTGTTCACAAGATGAAAGAGCAAGACGGCAAGATGTGTTAGATTGCCGTGAGGTAATACGTATTTTCAAAACTAACCTCAAGAAGAAAAGATGACATGCTTTATCTATCTTGCTCGGTGAAGCAGGTTTAAATTACTCAATGTGGCAGGCACAAGACTGCTGCTGAAGTAGTGTAGGCATTACTAGGAGAATCAAATACAACGCTGGGTTGCTGTGACGATTTCATTTATTTGCATTATTAAAAAATGAGGGCATGGACATCTCTTAAAAGCGCGTTTGTGTTCACATATCAGACATGGCAAATAGGTCTTGCTTTATCGCCCAGGCTGGACGCAATGGGACAATCATGGTTTAACCTCCTGGGCGCAAGCTATCCTCCTACCACAGCCTCCCAAGTAGCTGGGATTACAGGCATGTGCCACCATGCCCTGCTAATTTTTCAATTTTTTTGTAGTGACAAGGTCTTACTATGCTGGCCAGGTTGGTCTTGAACTCCCGGGCTCAAGTGATCCTCCTGCCCTGGCTTCCCAAAGTGCTGGGATCACAGGTGTGAAGTACTGTGTTTGGCTAAGATTCTTGGTTTGTGGTTAATCTTAAAGTATAAACATTATGAGGAAAGTATCCTAAAACTCTATTTCAAAAATTCAACACTTTGAGAGTCATTTCTAAATTGCCAGATCAGGGAAAGCAAGATGCTAGGCTTACCTGGTTTGCACAGGGCCGAGGCAGCAACAGGTGCGCCAGCTCTTCCAAATGCCATGGGTGGCTCAGCTGGGTGATCTCCCCACCCACTGCCACTGCTGGGTGGCTTCCCCCACGCTGCTGTGCCATTGTCCACCAGCGTAGAAGGGGAGGATGGCTCTCCCCAAGAGTGTTCAGTCTTTGAGTGAACATGAGGCATTTCTCCCCAGCCTGATGAAACTGAAAAAGGTTCCAAGGGGTACAGAAAATCATAAAAGTACATCAGAGAAAAGTACAAATGTAATTCAGTTTTCAATTTCAACATAATTTCGAGATAATCTATCCTTAGAATAGCCTTTAGTAGAAAATTTAAAGGAGGCAAATGTATTACATGTAATCAGGTTTGTTTAGCTTTGTATTTTAAAATTCGTATTTATTTATTTTTGTAAATATATAAACACAGTGAGTCAGGGTCTCACTGTGTTGCCCAGGCTGGCCTCAACTCCTGGGGCCTGCCACTGCATATAGATCGTTTAGCTTATTAAAAATGGTCGGACACAGTGGCTCATGCCTGTAATCCCAGCACTCTGGGAGGCTGAAGCAGGCGGATTACCTGAGGTCAGTAGTTCGAGACCAGCCTGGCCAACATGGTGAAACCCCATCACTACTAAAAATACAAAAATTTAGCCAGGTGCAGTGGTGCACACCTCTAGTCCCAGCTACTCAGGAGGCTGAGGCAGAAGAATCTCTTGAACCTGGGAGGCAGAGGTTGCAATGAGCCACTGTGCCACTGTACTCCAGCCTGGGCGACAGAGCAAGAATCTACCTCAAAAAAAGTAAAATAAAAAATAGCCATTTTCTAACTCCTAACCTCTACCCATCTACAACTTTAAAAGTCCATTAAAAATGAAAGCCTATTTAATTCTTAGCATTTGCAACACAGTAGGGTTTAAAAGAATAGTTTAAAATTATGGTTAAGTAGCTTGTTTACTTCTTGTATTATACATAATGACATAAAAGAAATGATACGTTACATGATTCTAAGAAAAATTTATGCGTTGCAAATATATACTGAAATATTATTCTTAACTTTTGACCACTGTAGACACAGATCACCTTATCTGAGCAAAGAAATGAGAAAACAGCAGATTAAACACATAAAGGTAAAGTAATAACTGGAAAATGCAGATAGTTCCCATGGTACCACCCACAAGCTGAGAGAGATCAGAGGTGTCTGTCTTAAGACAGTTAAATTATGGATCAGAGTAGTTCCTGCAGGCACTCTGGGAGGGATTTTCAGAAACTCTTTCATTCCTTTGCCAAGTCCTTCTGCAACGGCATCCTCAGGAATTGGTCCCTTGTGAAAACAGGTTACAGATGCACATAGAAGCCTGTGGCATTACAGGTGACCCTTGACAACATGGGTGTGAACTTCAGTGATCCACTTAGACACAGATTTTCTTCTACCTCCACCACCTCAGTGATAGCAAGACCAAGAGCACTCCCCTTCCTCAACATGAAGATGAGAATCAAGACCTTTATGATGATCTACTTCCACCTAACGAATAGTAAACATGCTTCTCTTCCTCACAATTTTTTCTTTTTTTTTTTTTTGAGATGGAGTTTTGTTCTGTCACCAGGCTGGAGTGCAGTGGCACAAATCTCGGCTCACTGCAGCCTCCGCCTCCTGGGTTCAAGTGATTCTTCTGTCTCAGCCTCCAGAGTGGCTGGGACCACAGGCGCATGCCACCACCCCCAGGTAAGTTTTTGTATTTTTAGTAGAGACGGGGTTTCACCATGTTGGCCAGGATAGTCTTGATCTCTTGACCTCATGATCTGCCCACCTCGGCCTCCCAAAGTGTTGGGAATACAGGCATGAGCCACCATACCTGGTCACTTTTCTTTTTCTTAAAAAAAAAAAAAAAAAAAAAAAAAAATTTGTTTTTTTGAGACAGAGTCCTGCTCTGTTGCCCAGGCTGGAATGCAGCGGCACAATCTTGGCTCACTGCAACCTCCGCCTCTCAGGTTCACGAGATTCTCGTGTCTGTTTCCCCAGTAGCTGGGACTACAGGTATGCAACGAAATGCCTGGCTAAATTTTGTATTTTTAGTAGAGATGGGGTTTCACCATGTTGGCCAGGCTGGTCTTGAACTCCTGACCTTAAGTGATCTGCCCACCTCGGCTTCCCAAAGTGCTGGGATTACAGAAGTGAGCCACTGTGCCCAACCCTTACAATTTTCTTTTCTTTTTTTTGAGGAATCTTGTTCTGTCATCAGGCTGGAGTGCAATGGTGCAATCTCGGCTCAACGCAACCTCTGCCTCCTGGGTTCAAGCGATTCTCCTGCCCCAGCCTCCTGAGTAGCTGGGATTACAGGTGTGCATCACCATGCTTGGCTAATTTTTTGTATCTTTAGTGGGGGTAAGGTTTCACCATGTTGCTAGGATGGTCTTGATCTCCTGACCTCATGATCCACCCACCTTAGCCTCCCAGTGTTGGGATTACAGGTGTGAGCCATTTTTTCTTTTTTCTTTTTTTTTTTGAGACGGAGTCTCACTTTGCTGCCGAGGCTGGAGTGTGGAGTGCAGTAGCACGATCTTAGCTCACTGTAACCCTTCGCCTCCTGGGTTCAAGTGATTCTCCTGCCTAAGCCTTCCGAGTAGCTGGGATTACAGGCACCCACCACTATCCCCAGTTAATTTTTTTTGTATTTTTGGCAGAGATGGGGTTTTACCATGTTGGCCAAGCTGGTCTTGAACTCCTGACCTCAAGTGATCTGCCTGCCTTGGCCTCCCAAAGTGGTGGGATTACAGAGGTGAGTCACTAAGCCCAGCCCTTATAATTTTCTTAATAATGTCTTCTATAGGCACAGAAGAGGCTATGAAACTAGGCAATAAGAAGGACTTCCCCAAGCCCTTCACATTCAGTACAAAAAACATTTTATATTGCATAGGTCAATTTTATTTTTCCAAATCAACTCAAATTCTAATCTTTGCTTCTGCTATAAGCTCACCTGACACTGTTAATAGTCAGGTTGATGGCTTGTATCAGCTGTAATTTTCTTTTTCTTTTTTTTTTTGAGACAGTTTTGCTCTTGTTGCCCAGGCTGGAATGCAATGGTGCGATCTCGGCTCACCACAAGCTCTGCCTCCTGGGTTCAAGAGATTCTCCTGCCTCAGCTTAAGTAGCTGGGATTACAGGCATGCCCCACCATGCCTGGCTAATTTTGTAGTTTTAGTAGGGACAGGGTTTCACCATGTTGGGCAGGCTGGTCTTGAAC